CCAGGAAAACCCCAGCACCCACCAGCCACAGGTGTTCAGCTGCTGGGGGGACTGAGGGACACTTAGGGGAGGGCAGAGAGCAGCAGGCAGGTGGGCAGGGAAGAGGCACAGCCAGGGCAGGACCTCAGGGAGAGATGGGGGTGGAGCTGGGGGGGGCAGAGCACCCCTGGGAACAAAGAGCACTCAGGGCCTACACCCAGTGAGTCTGAGGCACAGCGGGGGGCAGGACTCCTGGCTCCCAGTTCCATCTTCCCCGCCTCATAAACCAAAGCGACCCCCTCAGGGCTTCTGTGGTGGGAACAATGGGGTCCGATGTGGCCGGAGGTTCCTCTCCTGCCCAGCTCCAAGCTCAGAGGGAGAACCTCCGGCAAGCAAGCCAGCGGAGCAGAGTCCTGCCAAGACAGACGCGGGGAGACGTTCTCCCCAGGCCACGCTCACCCCACACATGCTGAGAGTTGCACCGTGTCCCAGGACAGTTCCCTTCCCCTCCCCGCTTTACCTTGTACACCTTGGAGAAGAAGCCGCTGCCGATCAGCTCAGCATTGAAGTTTTCCCAGAACTCCAGCTTGCGGACGGCCGTGCGGAGTCTCTGCCAGCGGTCCACATGGTAGTAGGCGTCGGAGGCCTCTCCGAAGTAGCGCGTGGGGCTGGCGGGCTCCGGGGAGATCAGCCCCGTCTCGCACATCATGGAGCCAGCGGCTCGGGCAGATCACAGTGCCCCCAGGACGCTGCAGCCTGCAACTAAGGCACATCGTTAGCAGTGAGCAACAAATCCCTGGAACAACTCACCCAGGGTCGTGGGGGCTTCTTTACTCACGGACCATTGCTCAATGCAGGCTGGAGGGGTTTCTAAGAGGCCTGCCCCTAGGGATGTTCTGGGGCCTGGGTCAGACCGGGGGCCGGAGAGTTGGTCACAATGGCCCCGTCTGGTCGACGAGCTGGGAGGGCGCCCGCAGCTGCGGCTAGTGGCGGTAAAGCAAGAGGCTTTGCTCCTCCCAGTGCCCTTGAAGGGGGCGCGGGGGGAGGGGACTTCCTGTCGTTATTAAAGCCTCATCAGCTCTTGGCACCGGCTTTTCCTGGAGCACGGCTAATTGGCCGGCCAGTGGCTAATTGGCCAAGGTAGCTGCTGGGAGTCCCCTTGGGGGAGCCGAGCACGTCGGCCTCATGCTGACATACAAAGCGCGCAGCCAAAGGCCTCCCCACGCGGGGACTCCTCTCCCCACCTAGCCTGGGGAATGCAAAGCTCCTGCTTCCCCCGCAACGCACAGCTCCAACCGGGCAGGAGCAGCTGGCTCTGGGCAAGGGGAAGGGGCAAGTGTCGCGCCTTCCAGCTGGGGGAGCGCCCTGGGCGGGGGGCTGTACAACCAGCTCCCCGCCCCCGGCGATGCAGAAGGGGTTAGCCCAGTGGGCTCAGTGCCAAGTGTCCTCCCCTGCACAAACCGCGCCACCAGGACTGTCCGGCGCTGCCCCGCAAACCGGCCTCATTCCGCACATGGGGAAACCGCCGGGAGCGGGACCCCACGGACCCAGAACCGGGCGGGTTCTGGAGCCAGATCTGCTCCAGCCGGGCGCCACACAAACGCCCTCGCGCCCGGGGGTTCAGCGCCACTGTTCTCTTTGGGGCCCAGGGCGGCTCGGCAAGCGGCACAGCAAAAGCCTCCCGCCCCCTCCCCGCCTGGTCAGCACTGGCCCCGCCTGCGGCCTGACGTGCACAATAGCTGCAGCCTTCTCTCAAGGGCAGGTCTGACCTCCCAGGAGGTGGCTCTTTTATGGGAAGAGCTTCCCTTTCAGAGCCTCTCCGCTCAGCCTTTTCCCACGTACCATCTCCGCCCTGGCTGGCCTAGTTCATCAATCACCTCTTTGTCTGCAGGACGATTCCAGCAGCATCCTCAAGGGGCTGGAAAGCTCCCCCCCTTCCCCCTCCCCGCATTATTCGGCAGAGTGGGGTGGATTTTTTTCCTTTCTATATAAGGGAAGAGCTTCCCTTTCAGAGCCTCTCCGCTCAGCCTTTTCCCACGTACCATCTCCGCCCTGGCTGGCCTAGTTCATCAATCACCTCTTTGTCTGCAGGACGATTCCAGCAGCATCCTCAAGGGGCTGGAAAGCTCCCCCCCTTCCCCCTCCCCGCATTATTCGGCAGAGTGGGGTGGATTTTTTTCCTTTCTATATAAATGGAGCCGTTTGTCCTCAGACTGGTGCCAACACGGGGGGGGGGGGAATGGCCTTTCAAAATGCCAAGGTTTAGTTGAAGGCCTCGTAGGACTCTAGGGATGCACGGAGCAGTGTCTAGAGGAGGATCAGGTGATGGAGCGGAGCCCACAGCCACGGGGAAGGGGAGACGTCTGCACAGGCTGCACCTCCCTAAACCGGGACTCTCTTGTCCGGCAGCATGCGTGGCCCAGCAGGACTACAGCTGCTGCTGAAGGAGAGAGCCCTGGGGCAGGAGGGCTAGCAGCTGGAAGCCCCAGTCAAGGCAAGGCTGGTGGTAGCAGGGCCGGGCATCAGCAGCGGTAGTGAGGCCGTGGCAGTGGGGCAGGGCCAGCCAGGCAACCGGGCCACGGCAGGTTGTCAGCCTGATTGGGACCGTGCACCGGCCAGCAGCGGGGCCAGAGCTGTGTGCTGCTGTGTCGGCTACCATGCCAGCTGAAGCAGCAGTTATAGCAGGGCCGGCGCGGCTGTGTGGCCCAGCCAGCAGCGGGGCCAAGGAGCCAGAGGCGCGGAGGGGCGGCAGGCTGAGGGGGCCGGTGGCAAACTGCCTCATCCAGGTTCACTCAGGCCCCAAGGGTGCCGGCGCAGGGAGATCCAACCTGCAGCGTGTACGGCTGCGTGACTGTGGGAGCAGATGAAAGGGCTCTGGGCCTTCCGCCGTATCCCTGGGGCTCCCGCACACACAATTCCGTCTGGAATTCATTCATTGCCGGGAGCTACAGGAAAACAAGCTCATGTGGGGCTGGATTCAGCTGCCATTCGCTGCCATGCCACGGCCCTCCAGGGAGCCAGGCCAATTTACACTAGCTGAGGCACCTGCCCCCTTTAGGAATTCAAAATAATTAACTAGACGACATCATCACCCTGCTACACGCGCCCCACCGGGAACCAAAACAGCAAGGTGGGTCCATTCGGACCTCGACCCCAACCCTAGCAACCAGGGCAGGGCTGGGCACGACAGGCATCGGGAAAGGGACGGCGCAGAGGCAGTCAAAGGACACTCCTCTTTGCTTGCTCATGTTGCAAGAACAAGGTGACATTCCGGGAAACAGAAAGGCCGAGCATTTAAAACTGAGAGAAGGAAACACTGGTTTTAAACACACTGCGGTGTTCACACGCGGAACTCATTGCCACAGGATACCTCTGGCGCCAAGACCTTTGCAGAATTACAAAATGGATAAGAACTGTGTATTAAGGTAACAGGGACAGCCAGTTGTACTACTCGGCTCATACATGTTTCTTTTTTTTTTAAAAAGATGGTCAGGAAATAATCTCCCCTCCCCCAGGTGCACCATCCTATATTTGCCTACCACACTAGCCCCTCCTCACCAAGGGCCAGCCAAAGAAGTTTAAAAGTGATGGCCCTGCTTCGCCATTTGCTGACCACCCCCCTGCTTACCCAGTGTCTCCTTCACCCTCTCTTTGCTGGACCTGACCCTCTCAGGGAACGCCAGGCCTGTCGGACACTCCAGCGTCCCCCAGAAAGCCTCTTGCCCCCCAAACAAGGGCCGTGCACCACACACACGGCACAATAATCCCCAGCAAGCCTTGCGAGCGACGGGACAAAAGGAGACCCCGTCTACGAGGCAGCATGCTGTGCGTTTGCTGCAGCTTGTTAAAGGAGGTTCCCCCATTCATTTCTCCGCCAAGCACTGCTCCCCAGACATATCCCACAATGCAACATTCAGACCCCTCAGGCCTACTCCCATGTGGTTCCAGTTTTCAGCGTTCGCTCTCTGTGGGCTTGTCTACGCGGGGAAGCGATTGCACAACAGGCCTGGCTGCAAGCTGAAAGCACAACACCTAAACCTTCCTGTTCTGCACCAGAGAGCGAGTGCCTTTGGGTGGGTTAGCGTCATTTACTTCCCACCCAAGAGACCTTTCGTCCTACTTCCCCGTGTAGACAAGCCCTGGGAATCTGGAGTCTCTAGCAGTGTCATGCCGGGAGCTTTCCTGAGGAAGTGCAAGCCGTGAGGCGACCCAGCCGGGAGCCAGGCCTGGCCAGCTGCTCCCAGGCTGGCATTTAGTCTCCCGTGCTTCACAACTGCCTGGGCAGGACAAAGGCAGCTGAGGCGAGAAGGTGCAGACCGGGAAGTGCGGCCGTGAAGCGGAGAGAAACCCAGCCCCGCACAAAGGCCTACGTCAAGGGGGAGGGCCCCGGAGCCCCGGATCGCACCCAAGGCTGAGGAGAGCTGGGGGTCAAGAGAGACGCGCTGGAGGAACCAGACGCTCAGCTTGGGAAGCCCCTCAGCGCAGTACTTACCTGAGCAGCCCCCCCCCCAACACCCCTCAGCCCTGGGCTCACACGCAGACCTGGCCAGGCCTGTGACAGACACTAGCGGGACACGACGAGCCACATCTCACTGCCTGCTCTTTGCTTGCGTCATCGCCGTCTACCCGATCCCCTCCATTCCCTGTCCGGCACCTCTCTAAGTGCAGCCACGGGCGGCCATGTCCCACACAGCGACCCCCATCTGCTCTCCACAGGTCCCCTGCCTCCGTGCGGTGCACGTGCTCTGGGCTGGAGAGAGAACCAGGCACCTCGACTTGTGACCAGGGTTCCCTGTAAGCTGGGGGCTTGGGCGGTCACCCAGGAGAGATTCAGGTTGCCAACTGCAGCACGCTGGATCCCTGAGGTCTCCGAAGGACGGATCACATGGCTGAGCCTTCCTACCTGTCCTGCTGGGCCAGAAGCCCGGCTCTCCCCTGACAAGGCACCAGGAACACAGACACTAAACCCGCCAAGCTGGGGTAGGGCTCAGTTACAGGGACCTGACAGCACACAAGAGCACAGCCCTCAGAGGGGACCGAAACCCCAAATAAATCCGTCTTACTCCGTACCTAAGTTATGCCCAGAGAAAGCTCATAAAGATGCTGGCTCCTCTGACCAATGAAAAGGAGAGCTGCACAGCTGTCTCTCCCTCCGCTGCTAAGGCTGGGTTTGATAACAAACAAAACTGTTTTTATTAAGTGTAAGAAATAGGATTTAAGTGACTGCAAGTGAAAACAGACAGATCGAAGCAAGTCACTACGCCAAAATAAATAAAACCCGCCAGCTGAGCCCAATACACTGAGAGAGACTGTTACAAATGTGCTTCTCCCAGGTAAAACCTTGCAAATCAAAGCTGATCTTTCCCCCGCCTGGGTCTAACAGCGCCTCGTGTATTCTTAGGGCAAGGAGGCAGCTTTCAAAAACCAGCGGAAGACGAATGTTGATGGCTTCCCATTCCTTAGACAGAACTTCCCCAGGGCGGGAGCCCTTTGCTTAACTCTCCCCACCTCCATGGAAAAATACCAGATGCAAGATGGATTCCAGCACCAGGTGGCATGGTCACATGTCTTTCTCGCAGGACGGGTCACATGGTCACAGTTTGGGCTCACAGGAAAAAGAAAACCACTTACAAATCCTTGGCTTGAGCACCAGGCCCGTAAGCCCCGTGGGTCCCACTGTGGCTCTCACTAGAAATTCTAGATGAAAAAGCAGGTTTACACTAATGACATCCTAGAATGACACACGCACACAAACAGGACATACGCATGCAGGGGATCACTGGCTCGTCAGCGACAGGTCACCTCCCTGGTTTGCATAAAGCATATTCAAGTTACGCATATTCATGTTCCAAAACATATTTCCATAACATTAGGGGGGGAGGGGTCACTCTACTTCTCATCCACATCAGTGCGGCAGAGAGCAGAGGTGTCTCCCTGTGCCTGTTCTACGCCCACAGCGGGCAGCCCAGCCGCCTCACGCTCCCACAATCACTCCGGCTGTCCGGAGGCAGAACTCACTGGCAGGAGGGGAAGGCAAGTCCCACCAGCGCGGCCGACGAGGGCCGCTGCCTGCTCTCCACCAGCCAGCCTGCCTCCTGCTCGCTCCACGCAGCCTCCCAGCGGGCAGCCCTCCAGCAGGTCACCCCTCAGCCTAAGCCAGGCACCATCTGCGTCTCCGGCTTCACTCTGCCTCCCCTGCAGGCCCCTCCTAACGAGCCCCGGGAGAGG